AGGACAAGAAGCAATGGATGGAAACTAATCAAGGAGAGAAGCAACCTAGAACTAAGGAGAAATTTCCTGACAGAACAATTAATCAGTGGAACAACCTGCCTCCAGAAGTTGTGAATGCTCCAACACTGAAAGTTTTTAAGAAGAGATTGGACAACCATTTGTCTGAAATGGTATAGGGTTTCCTGTATAAGCAGGGGGTTGGACTAGAAGACCTCCAAGGTCCCTTCCAACTCAATAATAATAGTAATAATAATAATAATAATAAAAAGAAACAAACAATGAGCATGAAGTGTAGAGGCCACAGACACTACTGCAGAATTTGGATGCATTTTTGAACTGAAGCTTTTAAGTGTACTTTCAGCATCTTTAAATATTTTTGTGGGATTTATTGTTTATTACTTTTATGTGGAATATCACGGCTCTATTATATCATTTGCAGAGTTTTATTTTCACTGTATGCTGTATTGATGGCTTTGTCTAAGAACATTCTAAAATATGAAAACATTTTTTTATAGGCTTTTTAAAAGTTCTAGGTCAACTGACTGAAACTGGAATTGTTAGTCCCCAGCAATTTCTTGGTAAGTATCTCTAATTTTTTGCTATTTGGAAAAATGGAAAAGGAAAGTCAGGTTCAGTGGCAGAATCTCTTCATGATTAACTCCTTAAGATACCGTTTTTAAAAGTTTGGAAAAATAATTTACATTACCACTTAAAGCTTCCTGTACTTTGGTCATGGGTTGGAAGAGGATAAAACACCTATTTTGCACAGAACCCACCCCTAAAAAAACGACCCATTTTTTATTCTCTGTGTTGCAGGTGGATTGTGGAAGTGAGGGATCAATTGGCTCATAGGCTCCATAGCTCTGGCCTAGATAGCAACTGAAATAATTACATAGTTTGTGGGCAGTCTGCCAGTTTGACCACACTGTCAATGCACATGCTTGCCTTTCCCATAGAGTCCTCTCACAATCCTATTCATCTGCTTGTCCCAGTTCAGGTGCAGTGCATCCTGAGCTAGCAAACATGACAGAGCTGCAAGAAAGCCTGATTCTGAGGAACTGTTGAATCCATTATCAATAGTATTCGTATTCCTGCCTACATTTCCACAGAAAATTTCGAACACATGCGGAGTTCTGGGGACTACTATGTTACAGTTGTGGAAGACACTAAACTAGGAGAGATTGTAGCTACTGCAACCTTAGTCATAGAACATAAGTTCACTCACTCATGCGCAAAGGTATGTACAAAGAAGAAAAAGTATGCATTCTGGATACATTCTGGAACTTGACCTTTTTAAATAGTATTAACTTATTTTCAGAGGGGCAGAATAGAAGATGTTGTTGTAAGTGGAGATTGCAGAGGAAAACAGCTTGGAAAACTGTAAGTAATTATTCATAATTGTGATCACTTATAATTGAGGAACTGTTAAAAGGATGTCTAAATGCCTCTTAAATGCTAACAAAATTCTGTGAGCAAACATTCTATATGCCAAACTTCTCTTTCATTAACACTGCTGGTGGTCACCTGGCACATAGGTAGCACTTTGCAGATAATTCAAAACTAGTTTCATTCTTTCCAGTTGTTTCCCTTTGGGGGACCAAGTTTCCCATCATCTGAAGTTTGGTACACACTATTCTGATGGCCAAAAATAAGCTGTATTTTCCTAATATATTTTTGAAAGGAATCATGTAGGGCCCAAAAAGCATTGTTTCCAATGCATTGGCAGCTAATGCATAGATTTCCAGTGATTGTTTTTTTTTTAAATTTTTTTTTAATATTTTAAGGGTGATAGCCAATTTGGCCCAGCAGTGTCATCGGGGCTATCATTTGATAGTAGTAGTGGATATAAATACAGGTATGCCCCATTACTAGTGCAGTCTTAAATAGTTGTCCTCACATCCTGCAAACTTAATCTTATTTCTTTTTGTTTTCTCTTTTAAAGATTGATGTCAACTCTTACATTGCTAAGCAAGAGACTAAATTGCTACAAAATTACTCTAGAGTGTATGCCGAAAAATGTAGCTTTCTATACAAAGTTTGGATACTCAGTATCTGAAGAAAACTATATGTGCCTAAGGTTCTTCAATTAAAGAATTTCCTGCTATCATCTCTTAATCAACTATTGGTGGTGGAGCTTGTACTACTGACTTCTCTTTACAGAAAGCAAATTCCCTGCAAATAAATAATGAATAGATATGAGACTATGCTACAGACTTTGATTTTAGGTTTCCTCGTTACCAAGGTAACCGAAGAAGTTTCCTATTCAGCCCGTACATTGTTTTTGATAGCTAGGACATGAGCCATCTTTGCAAGGTAAGGATGGTTTCTAGCCCAAAATAATTTTTAATTTGATGGGTTTTGTTTCCTTGCCCTGCATTTTTCTGTAATGTGCTGCTTTTTGTTAGCAGCTAAACAGTGAGTAGTATGTTGAGAATGTTTTTGTAATTTTTTGTCACAAAGAAAAAACAAGTTTTTCTTTTTATGTTGACCTTTAATGCACTTCAAAATGAATAATTCCTAATATAGATGTGTAGCTTGGTTTTATTGGTTCTATTGCACTCACAATGAAGAGAAATTATTACAAGTGGCATTCTATGCTTGGGCTGATATACTGAAATACCTCACCTTCACCTTTTCCAACTTGGTGCCCTTTAGATATGTTGAACCAAAGGTTTTACCATTCCCCAGTCAGTACTGTTTCCCAAAGGTCTGTCTAGAACCATTTCACAAATTGAAGCAAAACTTGGGATATGCAAAATCTATCAATTTTTAAATACATACTTTCTGTAAAATATGTTTCACAGGTGTTTTGTGCTTAAAATCTTATTTGCCATTAAGTGTAATTACTGTCTGTTAATGTACTGAGTAGATCCTACAAAAGCCTGACTTTTCATTATGCTTTCATTTTTGTTTTAGGAGAAATAATTTAGCACTTTGTTTCATTATACACATACCATGTTCGCTCATCCACTCTCTAAAACAGACCTCCCAACCTTTCCGGGTTGGCAGCCCAGAGGGAAAGGGAGGAGCAGGGAAATGTGCGCAGGCACAAAACAGTCATGACAGCAGAGCTAGCACCCACAAACATGTGCAAATGGGTCACTAGCACACATGCATGCACTCGCCAGCCATTCCCGGTACTGGTCTCTGGCCTGTTGGCCACCGGTCCACAGGTTGGGGACCCCTGCTCTAAAAGTAATCAGGGCTATGTCAAAAATGGGGCCTGTTTGTGCAGTTTTTAAAGACAGTTCCTAAAGTACAAAGCATCCATATGCCCCTAAAAGTCTTTTAAAAATGCAAAATTCTGTTTGAACAATAAGCACTTCTAAGTGCTTCTAGGCCAGAAGAGTAGCACTTTTAGCACCACCTGGATATTATTGGATAGTAACAAAAATAACTCCCCATTTCCCTGAAATTTTGAAGGAAATAACTATAATGGGCATTATGAGATTATGTGGTACAAGTCTTCTACAATGATTAGCTTCAAAAATTGAATCACAGATGGCTACAGAAAGTAGGGATAGTCATTCCATCTCATATTTTAAGGTACTCTACTTTTGAAGTTATTTGAATATTTATTCAATATTTTAAAAAATTATTGTAAAACCTAAATAAATGGGGTTTGTGATTATTTTGATGTATTGGTTTTCTTCTTGATGCCAGATATTTTATACAGATATTTGGGAAATGTTATTAAAATGCATCTGTTTTAAACAAGTATCATTGGATAGTGAATATTAAATTACTTCTCAAACTAAAAGAAGTATTATTGAATTGTACACCTAAACATAAGTTCATTGTCTTGCTGAATCATTCCCTTTGAAAATTGCTGATTCAGTTTCACATATCAATGGAGAAAAGGATACATTTGGTGAATCTATATATTCCCACCTGCCAAGAATATCATTTTTTTTGGGAGAGTCTATAAGTGCTGTTTAATTAGATGCAAGGATTTTCTGCAAAGTTATTTTTACAGCTCTTCCATGTTTTTCTAAATTCTGTTATTGGATGAATAAGTATATTCCATCAATGTGACTATTCTTCTGCCATCTCCATCCTAAGCAGAATAATCAGTGTTTAAATAAGACTTTCAGATAAGTGGTTTTGGGTAATGAAAGAAAATGTAAATTTAGTAAATGAATTGCAAACTTCTGCAACTCATTTACTAAACAGACAGAAAAGGGAAAACAGTACTAGCCTTTTTTAAACTTCAAACAAACTATCTAAAGATTTCAGTTTGGGCTGAATGGATATAGATATATGCTCCACTGATCTCCTTGAAGGTTGTATGGGATTAAAGTGTAAATTACAGACACTGGACGTTTTTTCCTAAAAACCCACTGCTTTCCATTGTATCTGAAAATATTGCTGATTACTTAATTCAGATCTTTGCAGTTTGGCATTTATCAAGAGAATTTGAAGGATACTTCATTGGCAGCAAGATTAATGACCCTGAGATATTATTAGGGATGAAAAACAGAATGACATACTGGAAAACAAGATATTGATAACTGAAGGGTCAATGATCATATATCGTTATTTGCCTGCTTGAATCTATTTTGTCGATTCCTACTAGAAAAATGATTTTTACAATGGACTCTTGCCTGGAAGCCAAATGATGTAGATGTAGTAGTAACAGTAGTAGTAGTAGTAGTAATAGAGTTGGAAGGGACCTTGGAAGTCTTCTAGTCCAACCCCCTGCTCAGGCAGACAGGAAACCCTATACCATTTCAGACAAATGATTGTCTAGTCTCTTCTTAAAAACTTAGAAGACAAAAAACCTTTTTATTTGAAAGAAAATATTAATTTTCTATTTTAATATATCAGTGATAATGATCCCTACTGTTTTTATTTCAAGATAATCACAGTAGTTTAATCTATTTTCTTCCTGAAGCTTAAACTTGGAAAATGGAAAATACAACTCACGGGTTATTTTTTTTTCTTTTTACTCTTCTTATAAATTACACAAAATTATATAAATAATAATCTCCCAACACATGTTTTGCTTAAGTAATAATTTTATCAATACAAATAAATTTCAAGTATGAAAAGTGCATTATTGCAATAATACCTCTTTGCAAGTCCAAAACTTTGGGGTAAGGATAAAACTATAAAGTGTAAAAAAAAATAAATCAGTGCCTTCTAGTCAATCAAGGAATCTAATACCTTAAAAATGTTGCCTTGTATGCTACTGAAGGAACAGGTTTGCATAAGGAAGTTAGAATCTTCCATTTTTAAATTTGTATCTGGTTGTTCATCTTGCCAGGATTAGAAGCTGCTATAAAACTCCCAACAATCAAGTCCAGGTATCTTCAGCTGTCAACCATTTGGAGCTGCTGCCTGTACGCTGCTTTCTTCCTCCTCTTCATGTGTTCGTTTCAGACTTCCTATGAAGCAGGCAATAAAATTCAAGAGATTAGGCAGTAAGAAAAATGTATTCCAGGAAAAAAATAGCTTGATAAGAATCAGAAATTTTAAGTATTTTATTTTATCTGGCAGACTAAAAATTCCTTCAGAATTTTTATATAATATATTAAGCATACATAGTAGTTGAAATAGTTTAAAAACAAATATTCTACTTACTGTGCAAAATTCGTTTTACATCTAACACACATCTCTCACCTTTGAAAGTCATTTCGCTCCCCCAGACTTCTCAGAACCTCAATCAGAAAGTCTCCCTAGTGAAGTGTTACCTTAATTCATATCATAATCACTTTTTTCTTTATTTTCCTTTATTTTTTTTCCCTTTGCTTTTTTACTTATTTACTTTAAAACCAAATATGTTTGTGGCGGAAGTTATAAACTCACATGCTGCCCCATTTCTGAAGAAACTGAATGGTTTACAATATATATATATATATTATGGGGGGGGCAGAGTCAATCTCAAGAAGATAGTCATGGTGATATCCAAGCATGAAGATTTATAAAGGTGACATGCATCCAGAGGTTAACTGGCAGCCACTGTAATTGGGACCAGAATTTCCATCACTATGCAATGCATTGTAAAGAATGGAATGGAATGGAATAGAATAGAGCTGGAGGGGACCTTAGAGGTCTTCTAGTCCAGCCCCCTACTTGAGTAGGAGAATCTATACTATATAGGTTATTAATATCATATGACCACATTGCTTAGCAATGGCAGTCCCAGCAGTCCCTGTTGCCATTGTTAAATGACTACCACAGATCTTCAAGTAAGATCCTCCAACAAACGAAGTCAATGGGGAAGCCAGCTGGAAACTGGAAGTACCAGTCACGACAAACCTTTCCTTAGGTGGCTCACAAGCAGGCTGGCATAAGAGTGGGGAAGGCTGTGACGCGAGCACAGGAAGGCTGAGGTGGACTGCAATGCAAGTATAGGAAGGCCAGGAATGGATGGCATGGCTTGAGTGCAAGAAGGCCAGAAGCTGGATGGCATGAACACAGAAGACCGAAGGCTGGATGGCATGAACGCAGGAAGGCTGGAAGGTAGATCCTAGCATGAGTACAGCCAGGTAGGCAGTTGTCTGCCTGTCAGGGACCTGCACTCACTCTGCTGCCCAGGAGCTCTTTGGGATGAAAAGTGGCAGAAATGACTTATGGAACTTGCAAATTTCCCTGCCAGCTTCTCCATTTACTTGGCTTGTAACAAGCCAGTGGAGAAGGTCACAAATGGCAATCATATCACTGTATGGGTGAGCAGTTGCCACTGCGTAATATGTGTATTATGAATCACGTAATACAAACTGGTCATATGTACTTCTTGTTTAGCACCATTAAATTTTATATGCTGAATGAGGATTGGTAAGCAAGGACTGCCTATAGTAATGTTACAGAGTTGAATCTCCACATGTCCGTAACTACCCAGGTTGTGCTTGTTACATGTGTTAAAGCTTTTGGATGGTCTTCAAGGACAGCCCCATGTACAATGCATTGCAATAATCCAGTGTGGTGACAAGTGCCTCCTGATCCAGGAAACACTAAAACTGGCAGATAATATGTAACTCTGCAAGGCCAACCTTTGCTGTGGCTTCCATTTTTCCTCTGTAGCAACCAGCATCATGCAAAGACCTTCAACTTGCAGGCCAGCTTTGTCTGGGAAAATGGAAAACTATCTAGAGTTGATATGTGGACTCAATTTGCTTCAAAGTCTGCTGCCATGTGTTTTAGTAGAATTCAGTCCAAGCTTTTTTCTTCTCATCCATATATAATAGTCTTTAGGCATTTGGTCATCATCTGGCTCAGAATGAAGATAAGCTTCATTTACTACTTCATTTTCATTTATTAGATTTTTTTATCCAATCTTTATTACTTTATAAATAAGTCAGCAAACAATACTCCTTCCTCCTCATTTTCACAACAACTCTGAGATGAGTTGGGCTGAGAGACAATGACTGGCCCAAAATCAGCCAGCTGGCGTTCATGTCTAAGCTGGGACTGGAACTCAGAGTTTCCTGGTTTCTTGGCAATCATCTTAACCACTACACCAAATTGGGTCTCTATATAATGAAGTATCGGTATATCAATGATACCTCATCTTATGCCAGCATTTGACCTCTCCTAGTTGCTTCATGTAAATGTTAAATAGGAGACAGGACAGAGCCCTTCAGGGACTCAATGAAGCTACAAAGGGCTCAGTTTCTCCCCACTCATCATTGCTTATTGGAGATGACCACTCAGAAAGACAGCATTCTCTCATTCCCAACCCAAATACCATGGGCAATTGGTATCATAGGACGCTGAAAGGGCCAGAACAATCAGTGGAATCATAGTCATCCCAATCCTGCCAAATGTCACCAACACTCAGCTGCAAAGCCAAGGAAAGAAAGGTCCAGATAAACTAATTCATCTAATGGTAAGTGTAGTCCAACCATTCTCCCTAGAAAGGGAATGTTTATTTCATTTTAATTTTATTGTATGCTACCCATCTCAATATCTAAAGTGACTCTTGGCAGCTTACAATGCAATGTGTTGAATAAGTTGACAATTAAAGTTAAGAGTTAGCAAGATTAAAAATTGTTTTATTGACGAGGGAACACACTACTGTCTTCATCAAGGAAGAAGGCACCACCCCTTCCCTCATACATACAGCCTACATGAAAAAAGTTATAGCTATACACCTGTATTAAGATCACACCTGTAGTAACTGAGAGTGATCGCTCCAGCTGCCGAGGTGACATCATCTGGATAGTTAACTTTGCTAGATAGATGGCTTCATATTCCTAAAACAAGAAGACCTGAAGAATTACATAAAACTTGCAGAAATCGCTCTATGTCAAGATCCTAAGACAAAAAGCAACCAATGGAAAAACCAAGAGCATATAAATATTACAAGTCAGAAAAACTTAAATATTTTAGGAAATTGAGAAACAGATTTGGATGAGAGAAGGGAGATAAGCAATTTATTTCCACTTGATTAAATTAAATCTAGATTTAAGGGGGGGGAATCACTGTTTCTTCTTCTCTGGAGGAAGACTTGACCTCCTGTATCTTTTTACTGGAATATTTCAATGAAAGGAGAACAAGCAGAAAAGTAGAAGCTGATTGCACATACATAAATAACACACAGCTCAAGCAAGCACAATATGCTATCTAAATCTGAATCAGTATTTGAACATGGGATGTGAAAGAATGAAAACTGTGGTTTAAAGATCTCCTGCGGCCATGGAAGATGACAGTTCATTGGTGGTTATTCCAGAATCTGAACTACCTCTGCCATATATTTTAGAAATTCTATTAATCATAAAACTCCTTTTAATATTTAAGTTTCTAGTTTACATATTTGGCTAAGCTTATCCACTCACATTTCATTTCAGTATTTTAAATTTCAAATTCACAGAAAAAAAATTTCAATGTCCAAGTAAATATTTTTTTTAAAAAAAAATAACCCACTATACTGGAAAATATAAACAACATCCAGAAAAGATGAGTATCTTTCAAATCAGAACATCAATGCATTTCAGACAATAAGGTATCACTACCTAGAGAATTAGTAATAAAATCTTCATTATCAATGGACAGAAAAAGAATTTACCTGAAGTTGATGAACAAATCCAGCATTGGGATTAATACAAAACCTTCTTTCTTGCACATACGTAAATGCATCCCTAGAAAAAAGATCAATTGATGTCCATTTGTTTTGGTTTCTGATTTACTTTCTTAATATTTTCCTTTATTTTTATTTGTTGTTTTATTTGCTGTTTGTTCTTATCTCCATTGTTGGACCTTATAATAATATATTAGAATCTCTGTGCTAGTGTTAGCCAAGCCTAGATATGCGATAAGGAATGTGTTCAAAATGTATCAAACTTTCATACTTCCAAAATATTCTTTATATAGAAGTTGCATATTAAATTCTTAATAATACCTAATGACATACTTAGGCAAATATATTGCTGTTTTTAAATGTAACATGCCACACATAAATAAACAGCATTCTGGTCTGTGCTTAATACTATTTGTTTATATCTGGTATGTGATATTTAAAAGCAATATTGGTGGTATTAAACAAACATGGTTTAAACAAATTTACAAAAGTTGAATTGAAAAAAGGGGAATAATTTCTGTGAAGACTCCAAGAATTTGCTTTAAAGACATCTAATTCTTTTAAAATTCCCCTATCCCGAAATACAGTAGGCTATTTAGTAAATGTTCTTACCTGTACTTCACACCAAATGTTTCCATAATATATGCAATAACTAAGGCAGCACTGAAAGCAGACAGATAAACAAGGTAAGATATGTTGGTCATGCCTCATCAATGTTTTTTAAAATGTGAATTTTTGTTACCTTCTAGAAATCCCTGCGTTCCCATGCACAAGAATTTTTCCTGAGAATGAAGAGAGTTACTTTATACTGGCTATATAGCATTTCCTCCTCTTGTATTATATTATTTACATTACAGTACATAGTACCACTTATCTGCAAGATCCACAAGGGGGTTTATTAAGATGAAACATAATATCAAAGAGTTCTTGGAAATTGCAACCCCCATCCCTCAGTAAGATTAGCATGGCAAATGGGAAATCTGCTTGGCCCATCTATTTATGAAATAGTAGCAAGGTATTTATTTACCCTATTTGTGACAAAATGAACACTTGCTTCCAAGTGCCACTTGCCCTGGAGCTGCAGAGTAGAAGGGAAGCATAAACATGGCCTCTGCTTGGATACAGAAAACTAACACTGGAAGGTTTTAAGAAGAAACTGGACAGCCACTTGTCTGAAATGGTATAGTCCAGTGTTTCTCAACCTTGACAATTTTAAGGCATGTGGACTTCAACTCCCAGAATTCCACAGCCAGCAATGCTGGCTGTGGAATTCTGGGAGTTGAAGTCCACATGCCTTAAAATTGTCAAGGTTGAGAAACACTGGGTCCCTCCTGCTTGAACTGGCTTTGGACTAGAAGACCTCCAAAGTCCCTTCCAACTGTTGTGCTATATTCTGATTGTGTGAACATACATAAACACAATATTATGAGCTATCTTGTGGATCAGCTGATAAATAAAATATACTATATAAATTAAATCAGGGATCTATGAACGTTTTCAGAGACAGAATCTGTTCATTACAAAAAACAGAAATCTGATCTGCAAAATTGCAAGCATGGTTTTTTTTTTCGTGGGAAAACAAGCTCAGTTCATTTCACCATGTTTTGAAAAATTGCTATGGACATCCCAGCTACATTCCAATGATCCTGCTCCACCCTTAGTCTTTCAGGGAATCCCATCACATTCTTATAGAATACCATGACACAGTTTGAAAAACCCTGATCTAAATCACAAGATTGACTAAATATCAGCAGTAACACCATATACAATTTAAGCTAGATGCAGACTTCTAGGCTAAGAAGCTTTATTCTCTTTGATTGGTAAAGGAAGGCTACACAATTCTCTCATGCAGTCATCTGTTCAAATTAGCCCCTAAGGCAAAGATGGGCAAATATTAAATCACCAGGGAAAGCAACTCAGTCTTTCTAGAGAACTGGAAGAGCGCATCCCGTGACACTATTGAAAAGGGCAAGGCTGTCAATTTTAGTGTGGGAAGGGCAGGTTAAAAATGGAAATAAGAACATTAGGTCATATTCCTATCTTTACAGAAACATATCATCTTTGAAAGACTGTAATATTGTGCCATCTAACCTAACATCAAGATAGAAATTGGAGACATCTGCCACCCAAGAAAACATCCATGCACAAACATAAAGGGCACGGGGAGGGGGGAACAGACTGTGTTACTACAAAGCATCCATTGTGTCGCTAACATTCAACAATACCATGGGTTACAAATGGACAGGGTGCATGTGTGTGTGTGTGGGGCTGTGTAGTTCATGCACTGCGCCTCTTTGCTCTAAGGCCTCTTGACAGTAAAAGTTTATGCACCCTTACATAATGGCAAGAAACAATTTGTTCCCTAAAGTCTTTGATCTGTAAAAAAAACTATTCTAGGTATCAAGAAAGTTATCAAAGTTGTAAAAAAGAAAAACTTGATACAAGCCTATAAATAATAATGGCCATTCTATGACAAAGTATTTTTATCTCATACAGTTTGTATCTCTATATAATTAATTTGAAAAAAAGCTACAATTTGTCCAATTTTCAGGCAAACAATTTAAGATACATACCTCCAGTTTGTAAACTCCCATCAATAAACTCCTTAGTCTAAAGAAAAAAAATACCATTCCTTTCCAGTTTATTAAACATGCTTACACTGATAGAACCAATCAGTTTTATTATATAATTTAAGTAACTTCTGCAGAAAAAGTTCACATTATTCACAAAACATCATGCATTATTTACAAAAATAATGTAGTGTTAGCAATTGCCTATCTTCTTATATAGTAGTAGTAGTAGTAGTAGTAGTAGTAGTAGTAGTAGTAGTAGTAAAGTTGGAAGGGACCTTGGAGGTCATCTAGTCCAACCCCCTGCTCAGGCAGGGGCATAATATAAAAATGTTTATATTATGATTTATCAAAATGCTTTAAAATTATTACTTTCAATCATAATCCGACTCATAGTACATCATAAAAACTTCTCAGGTTTTAAAATATCACACAGGAATTACTATATAGAATGAAATAAAATGGAGACTTCCGGTGGCAGGCGATTTCGCTGGTCGCAGCTGTTTGCTGCCTCCCGCCTGTTTTGCGTAAAAGCCGGTTTGACAGCCAGCATCTGCTGTCAAACGGCTTGATACCTTTCCCCTGGGCATAAGGGGATCGGTGAGCTGCCCGGGGTAGGAGTTGAGTTCCCGAGTCGTCCTATATGGACGATGTAGG